CGAAATAACGGCTGTCGGAATGGCTACGAGTCGACGGGTGCGGGTAGGGTGTGTGGTATGATAGACTCTACAGCCTTATAGGATGTTTGCCCCCTTGCATATATTGAGTATTATGTGGGATTAAGTAAATAAATACTTTGCTTTGATCTCAAAAATGGTAAATTTGAAAAACACTCTCACGCACACACGCACTCACTCACGCACGCACTCACGCACGTATGCATACACGCACGCATGCACACATGCACGCATGCACTCAAGCACGCACGCACTCATGCATCACGCACGCGCACTCACTCACGCACGCACGCACTCAAGCACGCACGCACTCACAACTCACGCACGCACGCACTCACTCACGCCAGCGCATGCACTCACGCACGCACGCACGCACGCACGCAACGCACGCACCTGTCACCCTGTTCCATGGGCGCTCTGGCGTCGACGCTTCACTGGGAGACTTTGGGCGCGGTTTGCTTCACAGCATGATGTAGGATGGAACAAGTCTGCCTTCACATTCTCCTCTCTCTCTGAAAATCAATGTGAAAGGAAACTCAAATCGCAAACGTGACCTCTCTGTGTTGTCAGTGAATACAGGCATGATTCTTAGCAGTGTCAATGGCACGAGTACAGCAATTCAACCTGATTACACGACAATCGCACGTATGTAGGAGCACACGCGACGCACGCACCCGTCACGCTCACACGCACAAACACCACACACGCACGCACGCACGCAACACACGTTACCTTTTAAACCTGCTGATGAGCGCAAGGGGGACACGGTCTTGTAGAGAGCTCCGGTAGATCTCGTGTTCGGTCGGACGATCGCTTCAGGCACTTCCGCGACGCCCTGCGCACCTTCCAGCTCATGTCATCGTCGTTCACTGCTCACTCCATCGTCGCTCTCCCTGCACGCCGCGGATGACCAACGAAACAAATGTACAAGACGCGAGAACAAATGCTACGGTCTCTTCTGAGGTCGCCCCGACACCCCAGCAACAGGGCGCGCACGGTCCTCATCAACTAGCTGCCAGAGTAAAACCCACTCTCGACACGGAAAAACTCGATTCTTGGCAAAAATGCACCGCACCCACCAGAGTATGATAACATTCTCTGTAGCGACGCAAGTCCCGGGGCATAGGCAGATAATCTTCCGACATGATAATACTCTGCAGATTCGATCAGGGTTAATCATCCAAAGCATATGATACTACACTGCCCATAGACCAGGTATATATGTTAGAGATGACGACAATGATAAAAACGCGGACGATAAGAAAAAGACACTAAAAGCTATGCAAACTAATAAATGTTTCTTCACACTAGGCATCTTGATAGTCATTTCGCAGACGTTCATAAACGCACAGTGAACAGCCATGCTAACTTTGAATAATGTCACTCACCCTTGCCTCCTCATCAGCCTCCGTAATCCATGCTATCTTCATCGTCATCGTCATCATCATAGTTGTAGTTAGGGATCATAGCAAAGGTACTCCAGACACAAGGTGATATCTAGACATAACAATGATGATTAACTTTAAATCTTTTATGCTCTAATATTTACAAATATTTTTCAGTAAAATCTCCTCTCTCTCTACTTCCCATTCTGCCTCCACTGTCTTCCTCCCCCTTTCTCTCTCTCTGTCCCTTCCTTCCCCTCTATCGCTTCTCCCGCCTCCCTCCCCATCTATTGCTTCCACCCTCTCCCCTTCTCTCTCCACCGTCCCCTCCTCTCTCTCAACCAATCGTGCCACGGCGATACGAAATCTTCACATGCCCGTCAGGTGGTCGCGATACGTAGACCTACCCGCACGGCTACCGGTGGACGCCGCGCGCGTACGGTGGGAACGTGCATCGATATCTCCTTCGGGAGGCTCTCTCTCCCTTCCTTCCCCTCTCTCCCCATCTATCGTTTCCCCACTCCCCTTCTCTCTTTTCCAACGAATCGTGTCATGCGGCATACGAAAACCTTCGCATGCCCGTCAGATAGAGTTGCCGCTATGTGAGATAGCTACGGACGCGACGGCGCGCGCACGTACTGTGGGAATATGCGTCGATATCTCCTTCGCGGCAGCGTCGGACGAACGACTCGAAACGCCTGCAGACAGTACTCTCTCAGCTCATCGTCTTCCACTTGCAGTAGCGCACCATGGTGCGGCAGGATGGCCTCAATATTGCTCGCCGACGCGGTGACCCGCCTGCGCCTACAAACAACGAAACGTCTTCACGCGAGGTTTCGGACGACTTTCGGGAGACGTCGAGAACCGATCGGATCGTCGGAGTAGAACGGGGGGCGGCGCGGCTACACTCGCGGAGCAAAGTCGCACGACTTCGTAACTAACCAGTTTCTTTCTGAGGAGTACTTGGCCATTAAGAGAAGTTGAGTGAATAAATCCAGAGTGTAAGATTCTGACGAGATCAAAGGTGGTACATTTCCAGCCCTGTATTTCGCCACTAAAGCAATAAGCTTCCAACTCTTCTGATTTGGCCAAAAGTTGGGAAGTTAAAAGGTTTATTTTAAAATGTACCACATTGGGATCTCGGCAGAATTAAGATTCTGTGTGATTTCTTCCACGCAGTTCGTATTGGTGGTATTGGTGCACCTTACGATATTTGAAAGTTCTGTCTATTCTAGGCCACAATTAAAAAATCTTTGTTTGCCTCACCCGACCCAGGCTGAAGTCACACTCTTCCCGATTATCTACTCTTGATATTAAGTATTGCCTACAGATTTGATATAATGTGCAGTTGATACAATTTGTAAAAAAAAAAAGAATGAAAAGATCAATAAAATTTTGATGTCAACCCCTTTTTGGCGGGTCGGTTGGGTGAGGGCAAAACAAACAATATTTTTATCTGGCCTTATCATGAAATTTCGCCTAAATCACACTCACGTGATGGCACCATACACTGACGTACGGTTCGAGTTAGTGGAGATGTTTGTATTCTGGGCGTCAGCTCCCCCAAGTAGGAGTCTATCAGTGTGTTGAACAGCTGGTGTTGTATGCCAGCCTCATCACCAGATGGCCTGAAATGTCAAACCATCAGCCACACTTTAATGGCCGAGCATCATGCAGTCGTTCATTTAAAGCTAGCCGACCAATTAAATTTTGTAGCCAAGGCAAAACTTCGTCGACCTCTCCCTTTGCAGCGGGTCTCGCGAACATCTAATTTCACAGCACCCACTTAAATAACACAAGTCGTGCATCAGCGCCGATCAGCTTCCAATATAGTAAGCCATTCATTAATCTGTTCAGTTAAGATCAAAAACTCAAACAACCAACCAATCGGCTAAAAAATCGCACCTGTTAACATTACGAATAGCAAACCGATTTACGGACGCTTTCAACGAATCTGCGACAGTCTGCACCAAACACCCGCAGTCATCGCTCCGCCACCTCAATACAAGGATGCTCCGGCGCGAATCGTTACTGGCGCCCCGATGATGGAGCGTTCCTGAGGCTAGCCGCGGGCTGCGAGAGCTGCCGCAGCAATGCCTGCTGTATCGTCGGGTGGAAGCTGAATGAGCCAGCCTCCGACAGCGGCTCAGCAGGTCACGAGAAATGTCGACGCCTCCAGCGCCCACCGACACGTCGTCTTGCTGCAAAGCCGACGGCAGAGAGGAACCGTGAGCGTGCGCCGCGAAGGCGAGAGAGGAACGCGCGATGTTGTGCCGCCACGAGGGAGAGAGGAACCGCCGAGCTGTGCGCCACGAGGGAGAGAGGAACGCGTGCATGGCGTAGCCGCCGCGACGGGAGAGAAGGAAACGCGTGTGAGCGGTGCGGGCCGCCGAGGAGAGAGGAACAGCGAGCATCGCCCGCGAGGAGAGAGCGAACGCAGTGAGGCTGCGCCGCGAGGGAGAGAGAGCGAACGCCGTTGAACGTGCGCGCGCAGGGAGGAGAGGAACGCGACGTGAGCCTGCGCCGCCCGAGGAAGAGAGGACGCCGAGGCTCGTGCGCCCGCGATGGAGAGAGGAAACGCGGAGCTGCGCCGCGAGAGCGAGAGCAGGAACGCTTGAGCGGTGCGCCGCGAGGGAGAGAGAACGCACCGTGAGCGTGCGCCGCGAGGCGAGAAGAACTGCCTTCGTGAGCGGCGCCGCGAGGGAGAGAGGAACGCGAGCAGCGTGGTGCGCCGTGAGAGGGAGAGGAAACGCGCAGAGCGTGCGCCGCGAGCGACCGAGAGGAACGCAGTGAGCGTGCGCGCCGAGGCGAGAGAGCGAACGCGTGATGAGCGTGCGGGCCGGAGGAGAGAGGAACGCAGGAGCGATGGGCGCGAGGGAGAGCAGCGAACGCGTGCAGCGTGCGCCGCGCAGAGAGAGAGGAAGCTACGTACGGTGCGCCGCGCAGGGGAGAGAGCGAACGCGCGATGCGTGCGGCGCCGGCGAGAGAGAGGAAACGGTCTGTGAGCTCGTGCGCCGCGAGGGAGAGAGAACGTCGTCGAGCTGTGCCGCCCGCGAGGGGGAGAGGAACGCCCCCCCCGGCAAGGTCGCCGCCGAGCGAGAGAGAACTGCGCCTGACGCGTGCGCGCCGTGAGAGAGAGGAACGCCCTTTGTGAAGCGTGCCCCCGCGCGACGAGAGAGGAACGCGCGCGAGCGTGCGCGCGAGGGAGAGACCGACGCTGACGTGGCGCTGCAGGAGAGAGGAATCGTCGTGAGCGGTGCGCCGCGAGCGAGATAGAGCGACGCGCGAGCGTCGCGCCTGTGCGCGAGGAGAGAGGAACAACCCGGACGCTGTGCGCTGCAGCGGAGGAGAACGAAGGACTACGGCCCGAGGCAGTGGCGAACGCTCGAGCGTGCGCCGATGGGTGAACCACGACGTGGCGCGACGGCAGAGAGCGAACGCGTACCCCGCGAGCGCAGGACGCGCGAGCGTTGCCGCCGCGGCTGAGAGAGGAACCGCCAGTGCAAGAGCGTGCGCCGCGAGGGAGAGCAGAGAGAGCGCGTGAGCGTGCGCTGCGAGTGAGAGAGGTAACAGCGCGCACGCGCCTGCGCCGCGAGCGGAAGAGCGAACGCCGTGAGCAGTGCGCCGCCCGAGGCGAGAGGAAACGCGTGAACGTGCGCCCTGAGGGAGAGAGGAATGCGTGAGCCCTTCGAGTGCGCGCCGAGCGCGAGAGAGGAACGCGCGCAGGGCCGCCGCCAGGTAGGCAGACCTGGCCGTGCCGCCGCGAGAGAGAGCAAGCCGCGCGACGCGCGAGAATAGCTGGCGTGCCGCCGCGAGAGGAGGACGGTGACGCGCCGACAGAGAGACGCCCGTGAGGTCGCCGCGAGGGAGAGGAGCGAACGCACCATCCTCCGAGCGTGCGCCGCGAGGATGAGCAGGAACGCGTGACTGCGTCGCGCCGAGGCGAGGAGGAGAACGCGCGAGCGTGCACGCGCGGGAAGAGAGGAACGCGGAGCGTGCGCGCGAGGGAGAGCAGGAACGCTGGTGAGCGTGCGCGCGCGAGGGAGAGCAGGTAACGCTCGAGCGTGCGCCGCAGGGCAGAAGGAAAACGCTCTTGACGCGTGCTCCCGCCGAGGAGAGAGGAACGCTAGTGAGCCCTCGCGCGCGACGGTCGAGAGAGCGACCTCGAGCGTGGCGCCGCGGAAGGAGAGAGGAACGCGTGAGCGTGCGCCGCGAGGGAGAGAGGAACGCGTGAGCGCGCGCCTCGGGGAGAGGAAAGACGCGCGATCGTGCGCCGCGAGGGAGATTCGTTTTTTCTAACGGTTTTTAGGTTTTACAGAAACAAGAGTCTGCAATGTTTATCTGAGAATTCATGCATTAATAAGTTCCATTGCAAAGATTCGTAGTGAGTGAGTGAGTGAGTGAGACTGGGAATGAGTGAAAGAGAGAAAGAGAGCAAGAGAGAAAGAGAGAGAGAGAGGAAAAGGAAGCATTACAGACAATGATAATAATGTCTATCAGACCTTGGCAATAGCCCCAGTAATCCTGCCTGTGATTCTCTTGCAGACACTGGCAGCTAGCGGATGAGAGGCTGATGGTAGTTCACCTATTACAGTCTTCAACCCTAAAAATCACAAGTCATGTGTTCATTATTGTTGCAATATAGGCACATTAGTCTCAGTTTTAATTTGAAATGCATATTTTCAAAATTGTGCAAATAAAATAGCTGTGATAGGGCCACCAGATGCTCAAAATGTAGGTCTCTTAGTTTTCAAACAGACGATATGATTAATTAAATGGCATTTCATTTTTTTTGTTTCTTACCAATGCTTGATATGTCTCGCAGTTGTTCTTTATCAGACACCATATTAGAACATAATGTGTCTACAATGGTCTCTACTTGGAATTCCTTTACTTTGCTCACAAGTGGGCCCAAGCTAAAATAAGAAAACATACACATATATTAATCTCAAGAGATATTATGCTGTTCTTGAACAACACTGGCTGAACAGTGTTAGACAATTACAGAGAACAAGTAAAATATATATTCATATTAAAACTTACACATTAAATGTTAGTTAGGAATTTCTTAAAAATTGGGCACATATTGATGATTTCAATGTTATCGAATATTGACGAAGCAGGTTATCTCACCTGTAACATATCTATCACCTTTAGTACTTAATAATTTACATACGTACGCAAAGAATTCACATTCTAAACTCAGCTTCTTTCTGCTGAGATTCCCTATTGCATTGCCACTGCCTGCAGTAACGACATCACTGCTCGTAAATCTATGCAAAACTAGAAAATATAGCTGGTGTTGATTTTAAAAGTACAATTCTTACCACTTCACAGCAAGATTTTGCACCTCTCCATTCTTATCCTCTAACAGCTTGAGCAGCATGCGCACGACTTTACGCTCGCTGTCATCGTCGAGCTTGATCGAGTCTTTCTGCAGCTCAGACATCAAGTCATTGGTTGCCATGAACCTGAAGTCCTTGTCACTGGACGTCATCTAGGTTGACAGCAAAATAGAGGTAATATAATGTATATAAGGAGATATAATGTATCGGCAGCCGTCGTTCGTTGAAGCCCCTTTTTGGCGTTTGTTTGAGGGCTGAGGCAATTATTTACGATCTTCTGAAGTAAAGTTTACAATAATGTTCATTTTCATACCTAATCCGAGTGTTTTCTAGATCATCAAAACTCTCAAAACGTGAATTTATTTCCTGTGACGTTTCGTTTCACCGGTCATAGCCGCGCGTGCCGGTCATAACCTATGAGCGATACTGCACGTGCATATTTGCTAATTAATTAGACTAATCGTGCTTCAATAGACAATAGCTAGAATGTATAGAAATGTAACTAAAATCGTTCGCGCCATATGATAGTTAGTACACGTTCCTACCGGTCGTAGCATAATAGCGTATGCGGCGTGGTATGCAAAATGATAACGAAACATCACAAATTCTATTTTTATCCTCCAATCACAGGTCGGAGCAATTCCTCTGTTTAGACGCATGTCTGCCGCCATTCGCTCCCACAGGCACTTGGAGCGTTTCAATAAAATATAATGCTAAATAAATACGAAATCTATTTACTACCATCACGCACCTGTCACCCTGTTCCATGGCGTCTGGGTCGACGCTTCCACTGGAGACTTTGGGCCGGGTCTGCTTCAGCAGCATGATGTAGGCATGGAACAAGTCTGCCTTCACATTCTCCTCTCTCTCTGAAATCAATATGAAATGAAACTCAAATGCAAACGTGACCTCTCTGTGTTGTCAGTGAATACAGGCACGATTCTTAGCACGTGCAGATGGCACGAGTACAGCAATTCAACCTGATTGCACGACAATCGCACGTATGTAGGAGCACTCCCGTCCATGCATGTACATGCGCCCGTGCACACCACACGCACACGCATACAGAAACACTCGCACACACACACACACATGCACGCATGCAGGAACACTCACACCCACGCATGCATGCACACGCACGCACGCACCCGTACGCTCACACGCACAAACACACACACGCACGCACGCACGCACGCACGCATGCACACACAACACGCACACACACACACACACGTTACCTTTAAACCTGCTGATGAGCGCAGGCGACACGGTCTTGTAGAGCTCGGGTAGAATCTCGTGTCGGGTGGCGACGATCGCTTCCAGGCACTTCGCCGACGCCCTGCGCACCTTCCAGCTCATGTCATCGTCGTCACTGTACTCATCGTCACTCTCCCTGCACACGGATGACCAACGAAACATATGTACAGGTCTCTTCTGAGGTCGCCCCGACACCCCAGCAACAGGGCGCGCACGGTCCTCATCAACTAGCTGCCAGTAAAACCCACTCTCGACACGGAAAAAACTCGATTCTTGGCAAAAATGCACCGCACCCACCAGAGTATGATAACGTTCTCTGTAGGGACTCAAGTCCCGGGGCATAGGCAGATAATCTTCCGACATGATAATACTCTGCAGATTGGATCAGGTAATCATCCAAAGCATATGATACTACACTGCACATAGACCAAGGTATTATTGTTAGAAGATGACGACAATAATAAAAACGCGGGACGATAAGAAAAAGACACTAAAAGCTATGCAAACTAATAAATGTTTCTTCACACTAGGCATCTTGATAGTCATTTCCCAGACGTTCATAAACGGCACAGTGAACAGCCATGCTAAACTTTGAATAATGTCACTCACCCTTGCTCTTCATCAGCCTCCGTATCCATGCTATCTTCATCGTCATCGTCATCATCATAGTTGTAGTTAGGATCATAGCAAAGGTACTCCAGACACAAGGTGATAATCTAGACATAACATGTTAATGATTAACTTTCAAATCTTTTATGCTCTAATATTTACAAATATTTTTCGAGTAAAATTTCTCTCTCTCTACTTCCCCTTCTGCCTCACTGTCTTCCTCCCCCTTTCTCTCTTCTCTCTCTCTCTCTCTCTCTCTCTCTCTCTCTGTCCCTTCCTTCCCCTCTATCGCTTCCTCCCCCTCCCTCGCCATCTATTGCTTCCACCCTCTCCCCTTCTCTCTCCACCCTCCCTCCTCTCTCTCCAACCAATCGTGCCACGGGCATACGAAATCTTCACATGCCCGTCAGGTGGTCGCGATACGTAGACGCTACCCGCGACGGCTACCGGTGGACGCGCGCGCGTACGGTGGGAACGTGCGTCGATATCTCCTTCGGGAGGCTCTCTCTCCCTTCTTTCCCCTCTCTCCGCATCTATCGTTTCCACCCACTCCCCTTCTCTCTCTCCAACGAATCGTGTCATGGGCATACGAAACCTTCGCATGCCCCTTTCAGATAGAGTTGCGCTACGTAGATAGCTACGGACGGACGCGCGCGCGCACGTACTGTGGGAATATGCGTCGATATCTCCTTCGGGCAGCGTCGGACGAACGACTCGAACGCCTGCAGGCAGTACTCTCTCAGCTCATCGTCTTCCACCTTGCAGTAGCGCACCATGTGCGGCAGGATGGCCTCAATGTGCTCGCCGACGCGGTGACCCGCCTGCCGCCTACAAACAACGAAACGTCTTCACGCGAGGTTCGACGACTTCCGGCGGAACGTCGAGAAACCGATCGGATCATCAGAGGAACGGCGCGTCTACACTCGCGGAGCAAAGTCGCACGACTTCGTAACTAACCAGTTTCTTCTGAGGAGTACTTGGCCATTTAAGAGAAGTTGAGTGAAAAATCCCAGAGTGTAAGATTCTGACGAGATCCAAAGGTGGTACATTTCCAGCGCTGTATTTCGCACTAAAGCAATAAAGCTTCCAACTCTTCTGATTTGGCAAAAGTTGGGAGTTAAAAGGTTTATTGTTAGAAATGTACCACATTGGGATCTCTTCCACGCAGTTCGTATTGGTGGTATGCACCTTACGATATTTGAAAGTTCTGTCTATTCTAGGCCACAATTAAAAAAATCTGTGTTTCCCCTCACCCGACCCAGGCTGAAGTCACACTCCTTCCCTATTATCTACTTCTGATATAATGTATTGCCTACAGATTTATATAATGTGCAGTGATACAATTTGTAAAAAAAAAAAGAATGAAAAAGATCAATAAAATTTTTTGAGTCAACCCCTTTTTGGCGGGTCGGTTGGGTGAGGGCAAACAAACAATATTTTTATCATGGCCTTATCATAAAATTTCGCTAAATCACACTCACGTGATGGCACCGATACACTGGACGTAGGTTCGAGTTGTGGAGATGTTTGTATTCTGGGTCAGCTCCCCCAGTAGGAAGTCTATCAGTGTGTTGAACAGCTGGTTGTTGCAGCTCATCACCAGATGGCCTGAAATGTCAACCATCAGCCACACGTTTAATGGCCCGAGCAAATCATGCAGTCGTTCATTTAAGCTAGCCGACCAATTAAATTTTGTAGCCAAGGCAAACTTCGTCGACCTCTCCCTTTGCAGGGTCTCGAACATCTAATTTGCACAGCACCCACTAAAATAAGTCGTGCATCAGCGCCGATCAGCTTCCAATATAGTAAGCATTAATTAAATCTGTTCAGTTAAGATCAAAAACTCAAACAACCAACCAATCGGTAAAAAATCGCACCTGTTAACATTGCGATAACCAAACCGATTTACGGACGTTCAACGAATCTGCGACAGTCTGCACCCAAAACCCGCGTCATCGCTCGCCCACCTCAAATACAAGATGGCGTCCGGCGCGCTCGCTTACCTAGGGCGATGATGGAGCGTTTCCTGACGGCTAGCCGCGGGCTGGAGAGCTGCGGCAGCAATGCCTGCTGTATCGTCGGGTGGAAGCTGATGAGCAGGCCTCCGAAGCGGCTCAGCAGGTCACCGAGAATGTCGAGCGCCTCCAGCTGCACCGACACGTCGTCTTGCTGCAAAGCCGCGAGGCAGAGAGGAACGCGTGAGCGTGCGCGCGAAGGCGAGAGAGGAACGCGCGATGCTTGTGCCGCCACGAGGGAGAGAGGAACGCGGCCGAGCTGTGCGCCACGAGGGAGAGAGGAACGCGTGCAGCGTGCCCGCCGCGAGGGAGAGAAGCGAACGCCGTTCGAGCGTGCCGGGCCGCCGAGGGAGAGAGGACAGCGGAGCATCGCCCCGAGGGAGAGAGCGAACGCTAGTGAGCCGCTGCGCCGCGCAGGGAGAGAAGGAACGCCGTTGCAACGTGCGCGGCGCAGGGAGAGAGGAACGCGCTGAGCCTGCCGCCGCCCGAGGAGAGAGGACGCCGAGGCGTGTGCGCCGCGAGGCAGAGAGCGAACGCGGCAGCGTGCGCCGCGAGGGAGAGCAGGAACGCGTTGAGCGGTGCCGCCGCGGAGGGAGAGAGGAACGCACCCGTGAGCGTGCGCCGCGAGGGAGAGAGAACTGCTCTTCGGAGCGCTGCGCCGCGAGGGAGAGAGGAACGCGATGAGCGTGGTGCGCCGTGAGGCGAGAGGAACGCGCAGAGCCGTGCGCCGCGCAAGGCTGAGAGAGGAACGCGTGACGCGTGCGCCGCCGCAGGCGAGAGAGCGAACGCGTGATGCGTGCGGGCGGAGAGAGAGGAACGCAGGAGCGATGTGCGCCGAGGGAGAGCAGCGCAACGCGTGCAGCGTGCGCGCGAGACGAGAGAGCTGAACGCTGTAGGTGCGCCGCGCAGGGGAGAGAGCCGAACGCGCGAGCGTGCCGGCGCCGAGGCGAGAGCATGCGGAACGCGCGTGAGCTCGTGCGCCGCGAGGGAGAGAGGAACGCGTGAGCTGTGCCGCCCGCCGAGGGCTGGAGAGGAAACGCCCCCCCCCCCTCACCTGGTGCGCCGCCGACGTCGAGAGAGGAACTGCCGCCGTGAGCGTGCCGCCGCCCGATGATGAGAGAGGAACGCCCTCCTTAGTGAGCGTGCCCCCGCGCGAGGAGAGAGGAACGCGCGCCGAGCGTGCGCGCGAGGGAGAGAGCCGTAACGCGTGAAACCGTGCGCTGCAGGAGAGAGGAATGCGTGAGCGGTGCGCCGCGAGCGAGAGAGCGAACGCGCGAGCGTGCTTGCGCGAGGAGAGAGGAACGCATACCTCGTGAGCCGTGCGCTGCAGCGGAGAGAGGAACGCAAAGTGACTATGCGTGCGCCGCGAGGGCAGAGTAGGGGCGGAACGCTACTGCGAGCCGTGCGCCGATGGAGAGTAGGAAACACATGCGAGCGTGCGCCGCCGACGGCCAGAGAGTGCGAACGCGTGACGCGTGCCGCCGCCGAGCGCTAGAGAGGAAACGCGCGAGCGTGCCGCCGCGAGCTGAGAGAGGAACCGCGTGAGCGTGCCCGCCGCCGAGGCGAGCAGAGGAAGCGCGTGAACGTTGCGCTGCGAGGTGAGAGAGCGTTAACGCGCGAGCGTGCGCCGCGAGCGGCAGAGAGCGAACGCGCGAGCAGTGCTGCCGCGAGCTGAGCAGGGAAACGCGTGAAGCGTGCGCGCCGAGGAGCAGAGGAATGCGTGAGCTCGTGCGCCGCCGAGCGAGAGAGGAACGCGCGAGGTGCCGCGCCGAGGGAGAGCAGCACGCGTGAGCCGTGCCGCCGCGAGGAGAAGGAGCGAACGCGCCGGCGCTGCGCGCGAGAGAGAGATGGACGCTGGAGCGTGCCGCCGCGAGAGGAGGACGCGGTGAGCGTGCGCCCGAGCGAGAGAGGAACGCCGTGAGGTGCGCCGCGAGGAGAGAGCGAACGCGCCATCACTGAGCCGTGCGCCGCGAGGATGAGAGAACGCGCTTGAGCCTGCCGCGCCGGAGGCGTAGGAGGAGCGCGCGAGCGTGCCACGCGCGAGGAAGAGAGGAACGCGTGCACTGCGTGCCGCGCCGAGGAGAGAGGAACGCGTTGAGCCAGCGCCGCCTCGGCGGAGAGGAAGACGCGCGATCGTGCCGCCAGCGAGGGGAGTTGTTTTTTCTAACGGTTTTTAGGTTTTCAGAAACAAGAGTCTGCAATGTTTATCTGAGAATTCATGCATTAATAAGTTCCATGCAAAGATTCGTAGTGAGGTGAGGTGGAGTCGAGTGAGACTGCGGAATGAGTGAAAGGGAGAAAGAGAGCAGAGGGCAAAGAGAGAGAGAGTAGGAAAAGAAAGCATTACAGC